ACATAGAAATAAAAAAGTAACCTATTGCAAAGGTCCAATCTCTTACTATGTAAATTAAAATGACTTGTCACAAAAATACCAAAAATTTAACAAAAATATTAATAATACTAAGTGCTGGACAAGGTAAGATGACATTCTACGTTGGGAGAAACAAAGGATAACCTTTTTGAAAACCAATTTGACCTAGTAGTTCTACTACTGGGATTTTAGCTTAAAACAAAACAAAACCCTGTAAATGTTGAAGGTATTACTCTCAGCATTATTTTAAACAATATTTTTAAGAAAAACCCAAATGTGAAAAAAAACCTCTCTATTTTCAAAGAATTTCAAATCACATTGGAATATTCTTAGCATAAAGTTAAGAAAAGCAAGAACCCCAACTGTTCATTCAGTGTGATTTCAGTCAGCTTGGTTAGTCTAGCTGTTTCACATGCTACAGGTAATCCCTGGGTGAGGTCAGTACTGGGGAATTTTACAGTTTTCTCTACTTTCCATGGTTTCTAAAATATCCTCTATTTCAAGAAAGGTTATAGTTTAAACAGCTGAATAGATTTCTGAAACAACAGTAATTTTTAAATCCCAGAACTTTCGTTCTTCTGAAAATCAGCCACCATCATCACTTAGTAATGGTCTTTAATTTTTCAAAGGTTCATATTCCATGGACTTTGTTTCATTTTGGTTTGAGGAGGTTTTAAAAGGCTAGAAAAGCAGCTTTCGCTTTGCAAATGTCAATCATATGCTCTCTTGGATTCGTGAATTCAAGTGTGTTGACCTTGTGGAGTGATTTCATGTTTCTCTAATGTGAAGCCGTTGACGGTATCATTTGGGTCTAAATCAATGCCGACAGAAATTCAGGTAGGATCTGGACTTGGGAATTCTTTTATAACCTTCCCATTGTAAGTGCTACTGAAACAACGCAGCCCATGTGCAATGTTACAGTCAGATCCGTTAGTATTCTGGTGCTATTCCCCTCTCTTCTTTCAACATCAATTTTATATTTAACAATGGAAAATTATCTTCTAAACCACTCAGTTCTGACTGGATTTTTAACGGTGGGCAAACATTTCAGTATTCAGATTTATTTCAAGGTAAAAAACCTTAAATTTTTTGTAAGATACAGAGATAAGAATTCAAGTACCTTACATAATGAGACACCAGGCTGATTATTTCAGAATTGCTAGATTATTGTTAATTCAAAGTTCACAGTAAGAACTTACAAGTTTATTAAATTTTGCAGGAAAAAACCAAAACTATGTCTAGAAAAAGAATTACGGTACGGTATTACTTTATTAAGTAATATGGAAGAATTATAACTAAAATAACATGACTGGTTAAATATAAAGATGTATCTTGTCTTACCCAATGTATTTATAACAGGTTACAATTAAATTTGGATAAATCAACAACATGTCCTTATTTCTGTTCACTCACTTAACATTTAATAACCGCCTGCTCTGTGCAAGGCACCATGCATGATCCTGCGGCTTTAGAAATGAGAATGTCACAGGACTGCTGTTGGCACGTCCACTCAGCTCCTCATGGCATTTGGAAATGTTCAACTCCTTTCACAATTTAAATAAAAGCCACTAATCAATCAGAAATGCAAATTAATCCTGTGATTAAAAGCCCAACACATTTTACCATAGCATTTGGAGTTGGTGCATTTCCCCAATTCAACAAAAACAAAGCTCAATGCCCTAAATATGAGGCTAATTAATGCTCTCTTCTCTTGTTCTAATTTTCCACACTCGCCAACAAGTCCTTGTGGTTTGGCCACTTGCTCAGCACCTTTATGGCATGTCTTCTATCATCATTCTGCTAAAACTCCAGCTCTATCTTCCTGTGCTACTTCTGCTCCCAATTCAAGTCTGGAGCATCCATTTTCTAGGCTAACGGTACCTATGCTCGCCTCTCTGCCTGTGCAACTCCAGCTCTACCTCAGCGCAGTCCCTTCCTTCCTCTTCCTGTCAGCAGCATTCTGTCTGTCAGCGCAGCCTGAAGCCTTGGCTTCCACTCACTTTCTTTGAAATTCCTCTCTCTGAGCAGACTACTGCAATTCTTTACTAAGAATGGAGATGCTATTACTAGATACAAGCTCTTCTCAAGTCTTATCAGGGAACTTCTCTGCATCATGAATAATCTTCTTCCTCCTCCCTCAATTAAACTCCTGCTTCTTTTTATTCATTCACTGGATGTACTAGGTGAGCACCTACATTAAACCAAATTTTCTAGGTACTCATGATACAGAAATGAGTAAGCTGGACAAGGTTCTGCTAATGTAGCTTACATGTTCATAGAGGAAAAAGACAAGAAACAAGGGAACCAACAAAAAAAATGTGATTTCAGAGAGTAACACTTGCTATGCAGACAATGGGACAAGGTGAGGTGGTAGTGGTAGGCTGCACTTTAAATACAGAAGTCAAGAAAGGACTCTGTGAGGAGTGCAGATTGATGAGAAAACATGGATGGTCACACGAAAATCACAGGGAAGACTATTCCAGGTAGAAGAGGGGCAGACATAAAGACCTGGAGACAGGAGAGAACATGGCAGGTTCTAGAAACACCAATGTCTCATGTGGCTGTGTAGCCACAAGGCATAGGTGGGCTGTGTTGGTGATTTCAGCTCTCAAGCCTTCAATTATCTATAATTCTCTGCATCATTAAGCTCTTCCTCTTATGTACTTCAAAATGCTCAAAAAAATTTTCAACCCCAAAATATATTCCCTTTAACTCTTGCTCCTTTTTCAGAATTATATCTGACTTTTAACACCAAAAAGAGCTCTGTTGGCACAGTGGTTAAGGCATTTGGCTGCTAACTAAGAGGTCAGCAGTTTGAACCCACAAGCTGCTCTGCAGGAGAAAGATGAGGCAGGCTATTTCTGTAAAGATTTACAGCCTTGGAAATCTTATGGGGCAGTTCTACTCTATCTTACAGGGTCGCTATGAGTTGGAATTTACTCAATGGCAGTGGATTTAATGTCAAATTTCCCCAAACGTATGTCTACTTCCTCACTACTGTCTCATCTGTCTTTTGCAGTAGTGTTTCTGTCCACAGTATCATTTCCATTAATCTGTCCAAGATCATCAATGACTTCTCAGTCAATTCAAATCCAGTGACCTTTCTTCAACCCTCATCATTACATGATTACCTGTAATATTCCTAACAATCCTCCATTTCAAAATATTATTTTCCCTTTACTTCCATGAAGTTACATTCTCATAGTCTTACCTGATGACCATTCTTTGACTCCGTTTCATCCCCAACCTCTTAAATGTAGTTGTTCCCTTAAGTTCTTCCTTCACAATTGTTTTATTCTTTCTTTCTATATTTCTCTCTTTAATAGACTCACCAGGTCATGGCCTCCCTGTAGGGGACTCCTACAGCCATTTTTCTTCCCACTCCTGCCTTTTCTTATGACCAATGGAAATGTCTTTTCAATAGCAAGTAAACATCACAGCTGACTGTAGCAACGGTACTTCAAAACTCAACTTGTTTCTAACTGAATTCATCATCTTCTTCACAAAACCAGAAACTTCTCCTCCATTTCCCAATTTATTTAGGATTGAAATTATACTTAGCAAGTCTAATCATTCCTATCTCTGCAATGACTCTCGAACATCCCTGTTCTATACCACTGCCACTAGGATGATGCATACATTATCTCTCATTCACCTCTAACACACCCCCAAGGACCTTCCACTTGAACTAATCCTATCCTTGCCAGTTACATAAACTGCTATGACATCTTGCCAACACGCTGAACCTCATCACCTTCTCCTGTCCTCCTTAGTCACTCACACATTTCCAGCCAGGAACTGTTCTTCCTGGTGTTCCTCCAAAAATCCAGGCTCCCTCCCGACTTTTTAGAGCCCCTTTCCTGCATATTTCTGGGGTCAGAGCTATGCTGCCAAGGGCAAAGTCAGATAAATCTGACTTTCAGATAAATTAAGCTACGATAAAATAAAAATCTGAGGATCAGGGTCTATGTTAAATCCCTGTGTAATGCCTAGAATGGTGTAACGCAAACCCACTGCCATCAAGTCAGATCTGACTCATAACAACCCCTCCTTGGGTTTCCGAAGCGGTATCACTACAGAAGTAGATTGCTCAACCTTCCTTCCGAGGAGTGGCTGGTGGGTTTGAACCACTAGCCTTCTGGTTAGCAGTCAAATGCCTTAGGCACTATGCTACCAGAGCTCCTAGAATGGCGTGGTATACTCTAAACAGGCTTGATATTATTAAATGACAAGAGGAAGAGGTGCAAAAATTAAACAGAATCAGACAGTTGTTAAATTACTTTTTTGAGGTTTCCTGACCCTAAGATACAGATTGTTCTTAAAGAACTCAAGGGGCAATTAATAGCTGTTTTGACTAATAGCAATTTACATTTACTAACCAAATAAAATACCTTGCACTTTTTCAGAACACTGAAAGATACTATTTGAGACTCTGCAATGAATAACCTCAAGAGTGAGAACATTATACTGAGATCTATTGTAAAGCTAAGTAACTCTAAAGAAACTTTTCTGATTTCATCTGAAAAATCAATCTGGGAAAACAAGACATCCTTTATGATACCCTATCATAAAAAAAAAAAAAAATGCCCTGAATCTAGATGTGATTATTAGACAACCTAAGAAAGATTTGAAATCTAGTCTTAACCTAGGAAATTCAAAGCTACTACAGCCCAAGTATTTCTAATTACTTTAATATTGGACGATATCATATTGTTTTCTCACAATGTGCATTTAATTATTATAAAATGGAATATTCCACACAATTCCTTCCATGAAAGTCAAGGAAAAAAGTAGGAAATTCCTTAGATTATTTTAGTGGTGTTTAGACATAGGGCAAGATACTCAAGCTGCTCATTTGAAGAGTTTATAAATCAGAAGAGGAATCTATGCCACCACCTCTTAGAGATTAAATATTAGGGTGCTAGCAGTGGATTAGAAACATGGGGTTCAAGTGTCCATAAAAAATCCGCTGGATTGCTTACCTTTTCCAACGTCATCTCTGTCTCTGCAGCATGAGTTTTTTTCAGCTCTATCTTCATCTTCTCTGATTCAGCCTTCAGTTTGTTGACAGCAGTCTCGTGGTCCCTTGCAGCCCTTTGCTTTTCTTCTTCACGAAGAAGACCCAGCTCTACCAGCTGTTGTTTCCTCTGTGAGTTCACGTTAATCAGCTCTTCTCGCAGCTTGTGAACCTGGGCCTCCATGTCAGCAATCACCTTGTTTATAAAAACAGAAAAAATGGACAGAGGCATGAATGGGAAAGTCACAAAAGAAAAAAAAAAAACGCCAAAGGCCAATAGGCTACCAAAACTAATTCACTCCTTCCTTTTCTCATTCCCCACCCACTCCCATGCCACTCCCTCCCAGCAGGTAAACGCTACCCAGAACACTTTACCCATATATTTATATCTTTAAATAACATATTGTTTAATTTTACTCATTTCTAAATATCTATGTGACTAGAATAACATTATATGTATTATATAACAACAGTATTACACGTATTCCTCTGCAACTGGC